TCCGTTCCGACAAGCGTCTGCTTTGTGCCCAGTCTGACCACACTTAAAACATTTTACAACCGTAGGGCTCGTAAAGATCGTTCGACAGTTTTTCGCGCGATGACCCACTCGGTTACACAGAAAACATCGCTGCATGCTCTCTGGTGCACGCTTCTTTTCTTCAGGAGCCAATTTCTTCGAATCATCAGAACACTCCTTCTTGACCCTGGCCAAATTAGTGCCACCTTGCGCTTCCAAGAATTGATCAGCCAATTCAAGCATGTTTTCAAGTGAGTCAGCCTTCCTCTCTTTTAAGTACAGTGACAGGCTTGGGTGGCAACTAGTAAGAAATTGTTCTCTAATTAGCAGCTCTCTAAGCTCATCGTACTCCTGCGCTGTCCCTGAAAGTTCAATCCATCTGTCGAAATAATGGCACAGTCGGGCGGCATACTGCGTAGCCGTTTCACCATCAGCTGGCTTTCCTGTCCGAAATCTGTCCCGGAATCCTTCCACAGTGAATCTAAATCGCTTCAACAAAGCAGCCTTCACCTTTGCGTAGTTGGCTGCATCGGTCGGCGTCAGCCTGCCGTACACACTGAGCGCTTCACCACTCAAGCAAGTACTCAAAGCAGTTGCCCATTGATGTTCCGGCCAATTCTGGCTCTTTGCAATCGTCTCAAATCGGTGGAGGTACGCGTCTAGGTCGTCCTTCCTTTCATCAAACGCTACGAGCAGCTTGCTTGGGTTCAAGCGGAAGCCGTGATCTTCCCGTTCGCTGCTTTCAACTCTAGCTTGGACGGGAGTTTCGTTTCGCTGTTGCAAACGGAGCCGCTCGAGTTCAATTTCGTGCTGCCGCTGCCGTTCCCTTTCAGCCATCTCCGCTTCTCTTTCTTCTTTCAGCTGGCGCTCCCTCGCTTCTCTTTCTTCTCTCGCCCTTTCGGCTGCCAACTTCTCTCTCTCCAGCTCCAACTTCAATTGCTGCTCTCTTTCTTCCTTCAGCTGTCGCTCCTTTGCTTCTCTTTCTTCTCTCGCCCTTTCAGCGGCCAGCCTTTCTCTCTCCAACTCAGCTTCTTTTTCCGCTTTGGCTCTTTCGACCCCCAACCTCTCTCGTTCCAACTCAGCTGTTTTTTCTTCCTTGGCTCTCTCAGCTGCCAACCTCTCTCTCTCCAACTCAGCTTCTTTTTCCGCTTTGGCTCTTTCGACCGCCAACCTCTCTTTTTCCAGCTCGGCTGCTTTTTCTTCTTTGGCTCTCTCTTTTTCTTCTTTTTCCTTCTGGGTGACCCACTTCCGTAGTTCGACGCCAGAAAGACCCATCTTTTCACCAAGAGCAACTAACTTTTCGAGATCCATTGTGTCTCGCAACTCGCAACTAAAACCTTGCCGCGTGCAAAAAGTATCTGCCTAAATCAGTCTATCGGAACACTCCCCTGCACTCGTTAACGAGAACACTGAACAACACACAAAATCGTTCCGATAGCACTATCAACAACTCGAGGCTCTTTCTCACCACTTTGGACACACTGTGCACCAAAAGGTCCTGTCGCGGACGCCAGATTAATTGTCACACCTGTCCCGTTTATTAGGGAGGCGATCGCCGGGCTAATTCCAAGAGCCGAAGTATCGGCCCCCCGAACCGCACCACGAAAGCGTGGACAATTTAGAAGTGGTCCTTATTGGTGCGCCAGCGGACGCCGGCTGTGGCCCAAAGAACAAGACAGAGCCGAGAGTTGATAAACAAACAAAATTATATTCTCATTAACGGCAGATCAAAAACAATACACACGTATGCACACTCCACAATAGTTACATACAATACGTCACCAAACAGACAATGTACTACACAGTACAATCAACCACACTTGAAACAACGGACACAGACAACAATACGCACTACGATGCAGTCGCATGCACTGAACAACCAAGACACTTAATGACTAAGGAGATATAAAACCTATTCAGTCCAAAGTCCTTGGAACAAAAGCCTGAATGATACTCTTCCGAGAATCACTCACTCAAAGTCCAGCGTTGTTGTCGTTCCGTAGCTCTCGAAGTCTCTCTTCCAGGAAACCTCGCCGGAGTTTCTCTTCCAGGAAAACTCCCGTCTTCAATAGGCCACTCTTCAGACTTCAAACTTCTTCGCCGAAAATCCGTCGGCTTCACACACGCAGCTGTTGCCCGCGTCTTCGCTCGATAGCGGAAAACCCACGCTCTTGCCTGTAGCTCGAGCCGTCCCTACGGACCAAAAACGTCGCCGACTACACGGCGGACTCTCTACGCACTCTGGCGCTCACTTCCGTCTCCTCCTGTTCTGTCACTACGGGCAGAACCTTCGCCGACTACACGGCGGAATTCCTACGCGCTCTGGCGCTAACTTCCGTCACCTCCTGTTCTGTCGTCTCGGCCGCTCGATTAAATACCTTCCGCGCCACCTTCCAGAAATTTCTGGTCATTTCGTCGGCGCGATACGCAGCGAAGGCTGGAGAGAGGCGAGACGGTTTGTCAGCCCTCCGCGTCGGGTGACTCAGCTCGGCGTAGCCACGCCTCCTTCGTTCTGGAAGTTTCTAGCGCTTGCCCGGCCGCCGCTGTGGGGTGAGGAGGTTCGTCTGCGAAGCCGTGCTTCTGCGGGGAGAGCGCGCGCCCGGGAGCCTTGGATGTTTGCTTTCTTTTTTTTTCTTTTTACCTCGCGGCGTTTCTACCGCCCGTTGTCGCAAGGATTTGGCGACGCGCTCATTTTTAGCGCTCGTTCTGTGACAGCTGAACACTCTTATTTCGCGCGAAAGCAAGCCGACGCAGTATTTCTAAACGCCTGCTCCCACCCAGAAGACCAACGACACTACTTCAAGCTTTGGATGTGAGTGTTGCGAATTGGTTATACTAACATAAAGTTTTCTTTATCACTTTTCATTTACAAAAAAACAAGCAATTATTTAGTCAAGAGATCTACGAGGATTCGTCTCGTCAGGTATTATGATGAGGATGTGAAAACACTAACCAAATCAAGGTGAAAAAAAAACGCAGAGACGTTTATGGAGCCTTACGGATTTCTCGTTCACTCTCTTCGGAACACACCCTGTTCCCTACATACTACACGGTCACTTCTGAAGAGCGGCAATATTTAGATATTCTCAGGTCATACTGAAGTGCTCCAAAGCCCTTTTAGAAGTCGTACTAACAAAGTAGTGACAATTTATTTTGCCAAATTAGTGGTTTCACAAGACGCAGACAGTATGAAGAAAAAAAACCTGTGTGGTTCCCTGAACGCCTTTTCTTTTTTCACCTTGACTAGGTGAGTGACTACATCTACATTTTAAGGAAGCAAACGTTGTATCTTTTAAATGGTGCCGAAACGTCTCACACGATGTCGAGAAATGGAAGTATGATTGGCAAAAATATGGCTATTCAAATGAACAGCGTAATTGAACGGCGAAATATTAATGTGCCGTCATCTCAAAATAGAAAAGTGAGATGATGTAGAGGTTGAGCCAAGCTTCGTGTAACAAAATTTTTAGTAATTAACGTATTGAGAACAGATGGTTACAATAATTATTTCATTTGTGTTACTCCAGAGATTGTTAACTCGAGATTACATTTGTTATGCATTTTATGGGTTTTGGAAACACATCGTTTATTGGGCATTACTTTGACACGTACAGGCAGTTGCTATACGTTCATCAACCACAATAAAAATATTATTTTTTATAGTGATCAAGCTCACATGTCGTACGCAAAGTGTAAATTGCAGCTGAATTTCCTTTGGCATAAAAATGCATGTCATGTATTCAGGTGATAAATTTAGGAAACGTGCAGTGACACGAAAATGTGTTATCACAAAAAACGCCACCATAGTGGTTAACATGGGATAGTCTACCATCTGTTTGTTAGTGTGTTCGTCACTTTTGACAGAATTGTGATAGTTTGTGCAATACCACTCCTGCTTCGACCGAGAAGGTCTGCAGTATATTGAAATAAATAAAATAAAAAGTATATGTAAAAGTAATAATGTTTGTGCATGCAGATGTGTCTCATTGTGTATGTAAGAGAGAAGTGGTAAGTTTGTGAGAAGTTACACATAGTGATGCCATGCAGTGTATATTGAGGATGGTAATAGTAGTTATTCTAATATAAATGTGAAGAAAGAAAGTTGACACAAAATAACTTTCTGTTGAGAGGAAGTGAACTTGTGACTCTAGAACAAGGCGTCCGATGCTCTAGCAGCTGAGCTACAGTGGCAGTAAACTCGGTATCCAAGTTATGGGGCATATACCTGCATTTGAACGTGGAAGGGTGTGTAGGCGCCGCTATAGCGGCCATAGAAGCGAGTGAGGAACACTGGTTCTTTCTTTCTTTCTTTCTTTCTTTCTTTCTTTCTTTCTTTCTTTCTTTCTTTCTTTCTTTCTTTCTTTCTTTCTTTCTTTCTTCCTTCCTTTCTTTCTTTTTCTTTCTTCCTTTCACTTTTTCACCCAATTCCGCAATGTTTCTACCCAAATGTTCTCTATTCCGGAATTCACATCTTCATCCACAATCTTAACAACGCCGAAAGTTAATAGCTATCCACGACAACGGCAGTTATGAACTAACATTTACACAAAGAATAGCGGTAACATGAAATGGTAAATCATATCGGTAAAAGGCCACATTGCTAAATCAGAAACGGCTGACTAGCGACGAGCCTTAGATAGAGTGAGCATCCCTTATTGTCAAACAATACGCACAAGCATGGATCCGCGCGGCGCACTTTCGAAGGCCACATGTGTGGACATTCACCGGCGCTGTAGTTTCAGCACGCTGCATCACCACCGAAAGCTATCAGCAATGACAAGCTTCAAGTTCGAAAGACCGCGTGACGCTATGAAATCAGCCCGCTTTTGAAGCCGAACCGAGCAGCTCTTGTGCAAACGTGGTGCGCGTCAATGTTGTGACTGCGCTTGTTTTTGTTTGGGGCTATAGTCATACATGTGGTTAGTCAAATATGTGGTTAGTCACACATGTGTACTTTACCACCGGATCTGTCTGGCTTTAGCTTTGCAGGTCTGCAGAAGAGAGCGCTCTCTTTACCTGTAGCAGCAAGCGGGAGCGAGGATTCCGAGCCCCTAAACTCGAAGTGTGGCTCACCAGACCTCCTAGTGAGTACGAAGACCCTTCGCAAGTAAGTTTTGCATGTGCATATTCTAGATTATCAACTATTAGAAAACAGAGTTATAATCTTGGTGGTCGCTCCTCAAAAGCCGAAATGTTCAACGCGTGAGCGCTCACGAAAGTGCTCCTAAGCACTTTTCGAAGGAGGCCTGCCAAAAATGCGACATTATGTCTCGCGAAACTATTTGTTTCGCAGGACACAGTGTTTGTACAAACGCAGGCGTGGCTATTGTTATAAATAATCTGGCGGGAAACGCTTCAAACTTTTTTTACGGATCTTTCAGTTATTGAGCATGTTTCGGTAATAAGCAGTCGAAACCACTTTGTGGCACACTTATACGGGGTTTTGCCATTTAGGGTGGCCCAGTGTTGTTGTTTGTGGCCGATTTATTTTAAGGGGCCACACGCCAGGTTCGTAGCTACAAAAAACGAAAAAGAAAATAAGCACAGTATTGACATGTCTTGTCCTTCTTTCTCGCTTCTGTGACGCAGACAATAGAGTTCCCTGGACGTCTTTATTGTACGTGCTCTCGATTGGTTCATGTACACAAATTATCGAATGCGATTTGTTTCCTACATTGTTGACACTCACGACATGCTAGAATTGAACACTAAAAGACATCTGTATAGCACAAGTGGGATACACACGAGTAGGACACACGAGTAGGACACACACGCACCTACTTGTGCTGCAGTGTGTCATTTAGGGCTCAATTGTAGCGCGCCGTGAGTGTCAACCATGTAAAACCAACCACCCCCTCTAGCTCTTCCTACACTGCTTTACTGTTCAGACACCCTTCCGCTCTTCCTTGGCTCGCATGAATATTGTGCACGATGGACCGATCCCACGTTATTTTGTGTGTTTAAAACTTCACAAGCGGCGATACAAGTGTGCATCCGAGAAGCGCGTACACCTTCATAGGCTGTAGCGCTAAGTGTTCACATTGTTCAGATGCTATTAGGAGTTGAAGTGCATGCATTGCATGTGCGAAGAGTAGTAAAGTAGGGAAAAAAGCCTGCCCCTCGTCTTTGAACGCGGGGTCGCGAGGGGTGCCATTTTGCTCATACAGAAGACGCTATGAGATTTCTTCATATCTATCTATCTATCTATCTATCTATCTATCTATCTATCTATCTATCTATCTATCTATCTATCTATCTATCTATCTATCTATCTATCTATCTATCTATCTATCTATCTATCTATCTATCTATCTATCTATCTATCTATCTATCCATCTATCTATCTGGCCACCTACGTCTGGGTGCTCTTGGGTCATCTCCTTGCTTTAGGGTAGATCAAGTTAGCGTGGGAGGGTAAGAGCAGTTCAATAATATTAAAGCCTGGATACGACATCAACAATGTAGAATACCGTCGCGTACGATGTAACACCCTTTCTTCTAGGCACGTGTGGATGTGGCATATATTCTTATGCCATAGGCCGTGGCACGCCGGTTTGCGCGAAAAGTGTCTGCCAGTTTATATTCACCGTAGAGCGACGAGGGCATAAATTGGTAATATAAATGCGAGAGCGTTACAAAAGACCGATATCGGAAGCGTTGAGCCCACGAATGCAAAAAATATGGTCCCAGCAGGAATAGAACCAAAGCATTCTTCGTGGCAGCCAAGTGTTCCACCACAGAGCCATGCAAAGTCTCGGAACCATTTATAAAAAGATTCTATGCAGGCGTAATGTTGATGAAATGTCAATTGTGCTTGCAATACTGCACATCTCATTTTTTGAGCATTACCTATATATATTCAAATGATACAGGCATCACGTCGGGTTAGCGTCCATTGATTACCGTTAAGCGCCATCCATTGAAACTCCTCTACAATGCACTATCAAAGGGAGCTACCACGGTGTTCTAGTGGCTAGGGTACTCGGCTGCTGACCCGCGCATGGCAAAATTTATTGATTGATATGTGAGCTCTAAGATGCCAAGATCCCCCTATGATTATGAAAGACGCTATAGTGGAGGGTTCACGAAATTTTGACCACCTGGGGTTCTTCAACATGCACTTAAACCTGAGCCCACGGGCCTACAACATTTTCGTCTCCATCAGAAATACCACCGCCGCAGCGGGGATTCGAACCCACGACCTTCGCGTCAGCAGCCGAGTACCTTAGCCACTAGATCACCGCGGCGGGGTGCACGTCGTGACATAGAGTCCCGGCTGTGGTGGCTTTTAAAAACGTAGTAACATACTACATAACACGTCTGGATGTTGCTCGCCTGTATGCTCATTATTTGCTTTTTGACTGGAAATGCTCACTAGTATGAAAGCAACCAAGAGATCAAAATGGGTGATCGCTATTCGAGGGGTTATACTTCCGCTCTAATGGCTGATTTGAACGACAGACAGAGGCAGACGCACAAAGAGGCAGAACAAAATTTCTGCTTCAATGTATTCGAAGGAAGACTATCGTTCTTATACAATATCTCAACAACTTGCCTCATTGTGTTGAGTCCACTGTTATAATTATTTACAGTATTAATTGTTTTTACAGGCAATAATTCTTCAGGACCACGAAAGCGGTATGCAATTTTTAACTGTCTCGGCTTTCGTCTGTTCTATTATGGTCATCGTAGCTCCCACACCAAAAGGAAAAGGTTGGTAGAATATATTTTTGAATGTGGGTGAAAACCAACTCGCTTCGCTACTCTTGATATATTATTATTTTTCAAGGCCATGAAAACTTCACAAAATAAAACTCTAGAAATTTATAACAGAGGAATGCCTTTGAGATAAAAATACCCATTATTTCAAAACGTGAGTAGCTATCTAGCTTGTGAAAAACCACAGATAAAACTGATTAAATTCAGAATAAAATAAGTGATTGATCGGTATAAAGTTGACCTTAGTTGATTGATATGTGGGGTTTAACGTCCCAAAACCACCATATGATTATGAAAGATGCAGTAGTGGAGGGCTCCGGAAATTTCGACCACCTGGGGTTCTTTAACGTGCACCCAAATGCGAGCACACGGGCCTACATCATTTCCGCCTCCATCGGAAATGCAGCCGCCGTAGCCGGGAATCAAACCCACGACCTGCGGGTCAGCAGCCTAGTACCTTAGCCACTAGACCACCGCGGTAGGGCGTAAAGTTGATCATAGTGATGGGGAATACAATATTATTTAGTTTGCCTAGCGAAACAACTTATTAGATGTGATTTAGCTATTTTTGAGTAGCATGTGCAGCTGTTATCAAGTTTTAGAAAAGAAACCCGAGGTACCACAAACAATGTACTTACCTTTTTTGCACAATTTTTCATGTAGGTAAACTGTTAACAGTACCTCAAGAACAATATTCTCTTTAGAAATATTCGTTTATTATTACCACTTACTAACATTATTTATACGTTTTTCCTTCTTCCAGACTGTGAAATAGAAAACCTGGACATGTATTATGCAATCACAAACTTTCTAAAGGAGATATCAACGTACGAGCGCGGTGTTGAACGTATCAGACTGTACGAAGGACTTTTGTTCATCGAATGTTGCAACGTAACAGGACTCGAGCAACTTCGCCAGTATGGCCCAGTGCTGCCGCATTGCAGCAGCTTCCATCCCATGTTTGAAGTGGACATAGTAAGTGATGGTCCCATTGAAGTGGTAATGAACTGGATGACGTACGCTGGAATGAAAGGAACTTTGACAGTCGGAGCTCAGTTAACGAGGTTCTCTCTGACACTCCAAACGCACTCTTGGTTAACTACAAGCCCCATGAGGCTCGAGTTACTACAGGATGCTCATCCACTGGCAACGGAAAATACCTACGTTGGTGTTACGGGTGTTAGTGACATCGCCCGAGCTGCGACTACATTTTTGAGCAGTGTACTGCCGTCTGTCACAGAACGCTTGTGGAATCACTATTTCTTTATTTATTTACACTCAATCATCGATTCGAACCCCATAATAGGGTTTGTCTCAGCTGTAACTCATTCTCCTGGTGTCGAGGAGTTTTGATAGTTTGATTTCCCAAAATAAACATACATGGAACATTTCAAATAAATATTATGACTGTTGGCAGAGAATGTTTGGCTCAATAAAAATGTTTAGTGGGCCGTGAATGATTGCCTCAAAATAGGGCTGCCCTGAACTACTGGACCTTATACGTTATCAAGCTGGATTCCTCGCGTATGGAGGAGATCAATCTTTCCTCACATGGCGTGCACACAGGAGAAAATGCCAACGGATTTTCATAACCACATTACAAGAAACTAACAACGCACATCAGCAGAGCAGGTAGAGGGGCAGCTAGCAACCTGCGGATCAATCGTGAAATGAGTCAGGTAAACTGAATGCGACGGTGAAGCATTGTTGCTTTACGGTCCACTTGACATTTATGCAAGTGAAAAGGTAACAACGCGTGCAACTGCTGTCACTGTTACAATATAATGTACGGTTGGAATGAAAAGAGACGCTAATAGTGTGGCATCTACATTCTAGGTAGTTTCACACTTCATTTGAAGGTATTGAAGCATGGATGGTAATTAACCACCACAATAACCATCTATGACAGAAACAAGAGCTATTATGTGATCTTTTTATTGCATCATAGCCATAGCGCGATGAAAGCAGCGAACTGTGCTGTTAGCCATTTTTCACATTTCTTCCTGAAGTGGTGCGCCGTATAAGTTGCGAGAGATGCTTGTAGTCATAGCGCTGCCACCGATGCATGGTGGCGCTAACAAACACAGCGATTCGTTACGCAAGTGCTGCGCTTACTGCTGGTATTTGTAGAACTAATTTCACGCTTGTTGGTGTAACAAGGTTGGCTACAGACTCTTTCAATCATGACCACCTTGTTGCGACAAATATTGAGTGGCGCTGTAGGCGTCCTGTTTAAAAGCTCTTAACATGGGTGTTGAGTACTAAGAAAAGGCACTGGTCAATGTGAGTGCACTCATGTTGCGTTCGGTGTGCTCTGTGCCAAGTGCGCACTTTGATAATTACAGACAATATGCACGAAGCGAATCACTCTGGTTTCCATCTAAGCCACGCTCATTATTGATTGATTGATTTAATGATTGATTGCTTGATATGTGGGGTTTAACGTGCGAAAACCACAATATGGTTATGAGAGACGCCGTACGGCTCCGGAAATTTCCACCTCCTGGGGTTCTTTAAAGTGCACCTAATCTAAGCAAATGGGCTTACAGCATTTTCGCTTCCGTCGAAAATGCAGCTGCCACAGCCATAATTCAATCGCATGACCTGTTGGTCAGCAGCCGAGTACCTCCACCACCATACCACATTTTCCTGTGCTATAATAAATAGGTAGCCTTTCAACTGAACTCACACATTCATTCAGTATAGCATGCCCATAGTGAACTTGTATAAACCAAATACGCTGTACGAATCGCAATAATCAGCATACACGCACTCAAGTGGCCTGCAGAGAGAGACAGGCATACAAACATCCTCTAGATTACCGGCAGGTTAAGGTAGAATAGCGAGGGGTCCTCCGGTGTCGATGTGCAACTTAACAAAATGACAGTTTTCTACTTAATTTTTTTTTGCTGGTTCTGCTTTGTCTGTTACCAGCGTGGCCTGTAATCCTCATCCTTACCTTTGCGAGTCTGACGTACTGTATAATGAATGTTTTTCGCAAGTGAAAATCTAGCTTAGTAACAATGTATATGGGCAAACTAATGGTAGCTGGTCACATCTCCAGTTTAAGCGCAGCTTCCTTGCGCTATTATGCGCAAAATGTAGACACAGCTCTCTTAATAAATACAAACACAACGAATAAGCTATGACTTCTTCTCCACTGAAGTTCAGTAGGCGCCGCCTTTAGTTTGGAGAATATGCAACCGAGTAAATCGTGCTTGTGGATTCTGAACAGGGTTTATGGTCTACAAACGTGTCTTTTTCCCCTCATTTGTTGACAAAGTGACCAACTCTAGACTTTACCCAAAAATGAAGATTTCGGTTGAATCTGAATGGCTTAACATTTTTCTTGAATAACAGCACAGACGGCGTTGTCAAACGCCTTCTCGTGGTCGAATCCGAGCAAGGCCTTCGTGTCTCTGGTACTGCTGTCCATTATCTGACATTTTAACATCTTAATTGCGTCTTGCGTCGATAGGTCGGCTTCGAAATCAATCATGTTGTGGGTATCTACGTTGTTATTTTCTATATATCTGCTTAGTCTGCTGAGGATGACATGCTCTACTTCGTTCTCAACGCCATACGTAAGAAAGAGATGGGACGGAGGCTATCAACGTTGTAAGTCTTGCCAACAAGTTGCGGTCTTCTATGGTTATGGCACGCTGTCGTTTCTCCACGTCGCGTTGATCGCCTCGGTAAAGTGTTCGATAGAGTGGTCGTCAAGATTCTGCGTAGTTTTATTGCGGCGCCGACTATAGCCGTTGGTTGCGTGAATGGCTTGTCTGACTTCTGCCACGGCGAAGTCTTCGTCCAACTACGAACGTGACGTACCGAAGTCGTTGGGAAACTGGGCCTGCTCATCTCTTTCCTTCCCAGGCAGGTGCTTCTTTATCAAGTTGGCAATCAGATAGTGCCTGGTACAGCATTTGGAAGCATTGTGCAGGGCCTTGGTGAGCGTGTGCCTCGTAATGGACCTTGTGCCACCCTCATCGAATAAATGATTCAGCCAGCTCCATGACTTGCTGTTGCGCCTCTGGCCATTGATTGAGTCGCAGACTTCAAGGAACAGGGTCTTAGGGATCGTTAAGACTTTTTTCCTAAACCTTCAATGGAACCTCTGTCCCTTCCATTCAAAAAGCAACATCTGCTCTGCCTTAATTAGGTGGGCTAGCCTGCTGTTCATGTTGCCTACCTACATGTCTGTGCTGATCTTGGAGCACGACAGCACGTCACCCTTCATTTCTGCGCCCCTGTCTTCCAAGGCTCTGGTGGTCAGTGCATTTTATTATTTCGGAGAATAAAAAGCGATCCATCCTGATCTCTGACTTTTTTTGCATTGAAAATTTCCCCCTCTGTCCCTACATTTGCAAGTAGTATTAAAGAGATATATGTTTTCTTTGGAGATATCTAGCCTTTCATAAGTTATATGAACCAGACTTTGACTAATGTTAGCTTTGCTAGTACGCAGCAATACACAAAAGCTACTAAAGGTAAAATTTTAAAGGTTGAAACAATATTCAGTCATACTGCATGATTTTATCTGCGAAGAAATGTCATTATGACACTCAATCTCTTGGGAAAATTAGCACTTCATTCATAATTTATCCTCCCAGTGCATTGAGCACTCATTCGCTGAGCTGTCAATAGGCTTTCTATAAACGATCTCCTGTGTCTAACTTCATTTACCTTGGGGGATCTTACCTGATTAAAACTGGAATAGAGGCAAGTGCCTATTTTGTTTCTTGCGTTGCTATCATACTACCTTGATATATCAATATGAATTAGAGGTTAAAAAGTACCTTTATAGTGTTACGTAGTGTCTATACATGCCTTTTTATATTTTGTGCTCAAATTCTTAACGGTCTGTGAGCGTATAATGAGCGTGGTGTATAGTCGTATTGTTACATGACACGCATTTCATTATTATCATAGTGACACCACATCTGCTATATGTGAAGTTAGCGAAACAGCCGCGGTCACGCTATGAGCGAGGCTTGCAGTCATGTTACATGATATGCATGTCAAGATTATCATGTTTGGGCTTGTCGTTTACCTTCATCGTTGCTTCGCGCCACGTAATGCAAAATTTGCTATATGTGAAGGTAGCGAAAGGACTACGAGTGCATCATAAGCGTAGTAGGTTGCCATGTTCTTACATAACACGCATCTCTTGATTATCAAAATTGGACCAGTAATATACCTTCGTCATCCATTCACGTCCCGTAATACCTAAATTAGTATATGTGAAGCTAGCAAACGACCATGAGCGTACCATGAGCGTGACTTACAGGACATACATGTCATGATTTCCACATTAGGGTCTGTCACTTATATTCGCTATGCAGTCTTGTCATATCATACCAGTTTTCAATACGTCATGTGAACGAAAACACCACAAAACAGCAAGGCCAAGAAATGTAAATCATAGTACTCGTATCACACATGTCATGATTTTCATGTTATGACATGTCACTTATGCTCATCCTGCAGTCATGTTACGTCGTACCAATTTTGGTATAGATCCCAATGTCGAAACAGCGAGGAGAGCTAAATATCGCAGGCGGCTAAATAGATAGATAGATAGATAGATAGATAGATAGATAGATAGATAGATAGATAGATAGATAGATAGATAGATAGATAGATAGATAGATAGATAGATAGATAGATAGATAGATAGATAGATAGATAGATAGATAGATAGATAGATAGATAGATAGATAGATAGATAGATAGATAGATAGATAGATAGATAGATAGATAGATAGATAGATAGATAGATTCACTGGCATGAGCACTCAACCACGATATCGCCATCTGGGGCATCTGCTCTGGAGATGATTATATCGCGAATCTGCATGCACTACACCAAATGGTACTACAGCTCACACGGGAAAATAACATACTTGATTTAATTTTTACAACCAACCCAGTTTCGTAACTGCTACTTACGTCCAGCCCGGGATTAGTGATCATGATGCGGTGCTACGTAAAATGAATGTACATTACCTTAAAACACCAGTGTGCGATCAAAGGTTCGTATACAATTATTCTAAAGCTAATGTTAAAAATTAACGAGTCTTTGGATAATTACTTTGTTGTATTTGAGACCCTTGCAGAACAACTCCGTGTCAGTGAGTTGTGGATTTTTTTGAAAAACAAAATGACTGAATTACGTAATGTGTTCGTTTCATGGTGGCACATAACGGCTAGGAAAGTGAAAAGTAAGCCATGGTTCACGAAATAACAGCGCACACTTAAACAAAAACTGTTGAGTTGTTACCATACTTTTTGTGATACCCCGACCGATATCAATAAGTTACGACTGAAAAATGTTACACTTGAAGTTAAGACGTGCATCTTTAAAGCAAAACGTGATTACACTGAATCTTTAAAATCCTTCTCAAAGATAAACCTAAAGAGTTCTGGAAACATTTCAAAAGAAATGGTACGTCTT